TTTGATGCTTTCTGAACTTGACTGTTTCCTTGCAGATGTTTCATTACCCAACTAGGTAACATAATCAGTGCTGGGAGGGAGTGGGGTTCGTTTATATACAAGTGCCTTTTTTCTTTTCTGGGCACTGCACTTTCCTTGCTGCAGTCCCTAAGGCTGTATGCTTGCTGGGTGCCAGGGATTATGCGTTATGTCTGTTTTAAAAATTAGGATTATCCCATCCGCACAGTGGAGGACAGGCACAAGTTGGCTGCCCAGGGGAAATTTGTCACCACTGAATTCGAGCCGTGTTTTGATGCTGCAGACTTCATAAGAGCTGGAAGAGATATCTTTGTGCAAAGAAGTCAGGTAAGTCAATTAAGACCCCCCCCCTCAAGTTTTCCTTAAATCTTATATATCTATAAGTCCTATACGTGCACGGTTATTTTTTTTTCTTTTTTTCAAAGTTAACAAGTTCAGCCAAAAGAAAACATGTGTGAACACACTACTATAAATTAAAACAAGCTTTCCTGTCTAGGATAGAAGTAAATTCACTGTCTCCTGGTTTCTAAGCCAATACCTTAACCGTTACACAAAATCCCTTTTCATCACACCTCTCAGTAAGATTAAATTTGATATAGAATAGAATAGAATAGAATAGAATAGAATAGAATTCTTTATTGGCCAAGTGTGATTGGACACACAAGGAATTTGTCTGGTGCAAATGCTTTCAGTGTACATAAAAGAAAAGATACATTCATCAAGATTCAAGAATCATAAGGTGCAACACTTAATAATAGTCATAGGGTACAATAACCAATCAAATCATATTAGGAAACAAACAATAAAAATCACTATTGACAGTTAGAACAATTAATCAGTGGAACAACGTGCCTCCAGAATAGAATAGAATAGAGTAGAGTAGAATAGGATAGGATAGAATAGAATAGAATAGAATAGAATAGAATAGAATAGAATAGAATAGAATAGAATAGAATAGAATAGAATTCTTTATTGGCCAAGTGTGATTGGACACACAAAGAATTTGTCTTGGTGCAAAGGCTCTCAGTGTACATAAGAGAAAAGATACATTTGTCAAGAATCATAAGGTACAACACTTAATAACAGTCATAGGGTACAATAAGCAATCAAATCATATTAGGAAACAGTCAATAAAAATCGCTAGGATACAAGCAACTAAGTTACAGTCATACAGTCATAAGTGGGAGGAGATGGGTGAAAGGATGAGAGGATTAATAGTAATCGTAGTGCAGACTTAGTAAATAGTTGGACAGTGTTGAGGGAATTATTTGTTTAGCAGAGTGATGGCGCTGTCCTTGTGTCAAGTTGTTCTGGTGTGCAGTGCTCTATAGCATCGTTTTGAGAGTAGGAGTTGAAACAGGATATGAGGGGTCTGTAGATATTTTCATAGCCCTCTTTTTGACTCCTGCACTATACAGGTCCTCGATGGAAGGCAGGTTGGTAGCAACTGTTTTTTCTGCAATCCTAATTACTCTCTGAAGTCTGTGTCCGTCTTGTTGGGTTGCAGAGCCAAACCAGACAGTTATTGAGGTTTAAAGGTTGTATTTACAGGTGTGGACACTGGAATTGCTTCCTAGTCCAGTGCTAGTTCTAAATAAATGTATTTTATCTTGGCTAGTCATTGCTACCCAGAATAAAGAAATTGAACACTGAACTGGGCTTATCACTGTAAGAGGACTGAATTTACAAAATTTGGGAAAGTCCAAATATCCAGTTTGATTCAGATGATGGAGGGAAGTTTAATTAAGCTTGTATTAAAAAACTTGAATTACAAACCAGATGCATTTTTGCTTTCCTTTCTCCAATGTCACAGGTTACAAATTTCATGGGCATTGAGTGGATGAAGAGACATCTTGCTCCGGACTACAGAGTCCATACTATTTCTTTCAAAGACCCCAACCCGATGCACATCGATGCTACTTTTAATATCATTGGCCCTGGGCTTGTGCTTTCTAATCCAGATCGTCCCTGTAATGAGGTAATGGGGCTTCACAGGGGAATGGGGAACTTCAGCTAGTCCTTGACTTATAACCTTTCTAACCATTCTAAATAAGAATGATACTGGGGGAAAAAATTGCCTTCCTAGAGATACCAACTTTCTGTATAGTGAGTTTGGGTACGGGAACAAACCGGTGAGTTTGATGAGCTAATTTTGGTGAGCTAAGAAATATAGAAGAGATATTCCATTTGCTGACGTTTCAAATGTGAGGAATAAGTTGGTGTGTGCTGTTTCTTGCGATGGACAACTTTCGCTGTGTTCCCACAACACACCAAAGGATAGGAATACAATTTGCAAACCATATCATGTATGCCATATATCTTTTTTTAAAAT